GGTACCAACCAAAATACTCGACGCAGTTGATCTTGACATCGTCCTCAGAGCCATCTGCAGACAGAGGCACCGAATCTACCCACGGCTGCAGCACATATGGCCCATCTTGTCGATCCGCGTTGATGCTGGGCGAGGCCATGGTGGATGACGATGATGCCCCTCCACCGGGGCCATTGGATGTCATGACAGAGAATCGTTTGCTGGCGGTGTCATCTGGACACCTGATTCATATCGTCTGGAGTCTAGAGGCCCCAAGACGGAGGATCCGGCGAGCTCAGCGTCTTTGGCCTTGAGGAGGGGAGAGGTCTTAAAGAGCTCGTGTTGGTGACGAATGCGCCAGCCTTCCGTCCAAGCTGGAAACTGCCGAGCTTAGTGCAGGCGAGGCTGAGGTGGGGCACTGGTAACCCCCTGTGACGAGCCGTTAGCAGTACAAAGAAGCACTGTCTGCACTGTAATTACGGGGCGCTGCGCCTGAAAGCTGGCGCAAGCAGTTACAGCTCTGGCGACGTCAATCGTTTCACAACACCAGACGCTTAAGCCCGATCCTCTACAGCCATTGGAGCACCAACCCTCGCTCCCTGAAGAACACAGCTCGAGCTCTATACCTCAATGCATGGACAGCTGATCGGCCTCTCTCTTTGGTAGCCGCGGAAACAACAAAGACGGCAGCTCGAGCACCATGTCCAACGACGCAGAAGGGGCTGCAGCTGTCTCGGCTGTGACGCAGAGTAGCGGCCCTGATGCTGAAGCTGGGGGAGGAAACAAGTTCTCTCATGCTATTTCGGCATGGCGAAGTATGTGAGCTATGGCGAGCATCCAATGGAGCTGTGTTGTCTAACCATGATGCGCAGACGTCGACCTGACTACCTTGATATCCAACCTGGACAACACGGCGTCGGAAATCGTCACGTACCAGCGAGACTCGACAGTGCAGCGCAAGGAGCTGGCACAAAAGACAAAGGACTTTAGGAAATCAGATGACGCTACAAAGTTGACGGAGATCAAAGGCCTCCTCAAAGGTGTGTTTGCTCCTCTGCCGATAGCGCATGCGTTTCAAGCATGAATGGGCGACAACTAAACTGATGCGGCCATAGCATACCAAACCTTTATCGATCTCCTCACGAACCACTCCAAATCGGTCAACTCGGCGTTTCTAAAGGCCTACAGCTCGCTGTCGGAAGCTCCCGATCCATACCCATTGCTGGAAGCCTCGGTTGACTCGATGCTGGTATCCGAAGATACTCTGCCAAAGATCACAGAAGAAAATCAGCACCTACAAAGGAGCGTCTCGAAGCTCACAGCGCAGCTTGAGGAATCCGAGTCTCGGCTTCAGACCGAGCGCGCCGCTCGCAAGGATTTGGAGGATAATTTAGAAGGCAAGGTGAAGGAAGTGGAAGCGTCGTGGACCGCTGTACTGGACGAGAAGACAGATAATTGGGAAGCCAAGGAAAAGACGCTGGAAGACAAGATTGCGAACCAAGAGCGTTTGTTGAGCGAACTCAAGGCCAACTATGAAGTCAACCAGCGGCTAGGCAAGGCAAGCGGCGAGGATCAAGATGGCCAGCGCAATCAGGCCACGAACGCAGAGCTGGAGATGCTCCACGCGGATTTGGAGAGGACTAGTTCTCGGCTGGCCGAGGTTGAAGCGCGAAACGAGCAGATGAGAATTGAGCTTGCCCAGGTCAAATCAACAAGGCAAACTCAGACCTCAACGTCCCTGGAAGACGACCCCGGATACATGCGAATGCGCTCGGAGAATTCGTCTCTAGTACGCAAGCTGGAAGCAGCGAGGGTGGAGAAGGAAGGGTTCAAACGAGACATCGATGGCAAGCTACGATCGGTAGAACGGGAGGTAGCCCTGCTGAAAGAAGAAAAAGAGTCTCTCAAAGCAAAGGTTGACAAATGGGCCGACTACGAAGAAGTCAAACAGGAGCTCGAAGTCCTCAAGAGCATCGAATTCTCGACTGGCGACGACGATGAAGCACCACAAGACCTGGAGGGGGTCCCTAGCAAGGGAGACACACTAGAGAAGCTCTTACTGGCGCGAAACAAGAAACTCAATGATGAGCTCACGATTCTTCGGGTATCCCACCAGGACCTTCAGCGCCGATTAGAAGATCTACAAGAGGAGCTTTCGAGAACCAATGCCGAACTAGAGAAGGCCCAGAACTTGAACGAGAAGCTGGAGAGCGACCTGGAGAACCTCCAGGCAGAAGGAGCGAACGCCTTCCCATCTGGCGCATCTGTTGCCGGCACCTACATCACCCGAGCCCAGGGACGCAAGGGGGGGAGGATCTCACCCACATCTTCCATCATCAGCGGGATAGATCCTCGGACATCATTGGGGGAGCGTGAGCCAATGGGAGGAGGATCAGGCATCCTCCCCATGGTGACGGCACAGAGAGACCGCTTCAAGAAGAGGAACGCTCTGTTGGAGCAGGAGCTTTCAGAGAGTCACCGTGCGGTGCAGCAGCTCCGACAAGAGGTGGCCGCTTTGCAAAAAGACAACCTGAACCTTTACGAAAAGACGAGATACGTCTCGACGTACAGCCGAGGGGGGGCTACGACGTCCTCCTCATCGGCCTACGCGACGAATCCTAACCCGTCGACGGTCACCATTGGCGGGACAGGAAACCCGGGTATGGAGCTGGACCGGTACAGAAAAGCGTACGAGTCCAACATATCGCCGTTCGCGGCATTCCGCGGCAGAGAGTCGGCCAGAGCATACCGCCGCATGAGCCTTCCCGAGAGGGTGGTCTATTCTATCACGCGCATGGTATTAGCGTCGCGGACAAGCAGAAACCTGTTTGCCGCGTACTGCGTGGCGCTCCACATCCTTGTCTTCTTCTCGCTGTATTGGATGGGCACGGCGGACTTTGAGAGGCACGCCAGCAACTTTGGCTCATCGGCGGCGGCAGCAGCAGCAGGAGCTGCGTCTGGTGGAGGGGGAGTAAGTGGAGGAGGAGGAGGGGGAAGTCATGGGGAATGGCAAGAGGATGGGTTTGATGGGTAAAAGAAACGGTGTTTATTCGATTACGGTAGTCGAGCGTTGACTGGGTTGGGAGGAGCATTCTTTTGGATATGGTATGTACTATGTATGATATATACGGAGCCTTGTTTTCCTTCCATTTGCTTTCTTTAGAGCAGTGGGCTTTTGAAAAAGATGACAGGTATTGTCGCCGAGGGATAGACGGTGGCTAGAGCATGAGGAGAATGCGATGTGTGCGCGTGCTGCTGTATTGAGCATGTGATATCTCAACATGCGTTATCTCATCTACCACTGGGTACTGTAATATAAAAGGAGCATCATTCCATATCAGCCAAGCATACATACGTGGTGCTATTCATGTTAGACGCCGGCCGTGGAGGCGGCCCAAGGAGGGGAACACAGGTGGGATATATTCATTCTCAAGCCCATTGGACCAAGAAAGGAATAGTCAAGCTTCGTCGTCTTCTTTGCATAACGCGATAGTTCAAGGTTGTAGCGCTAAACGCTTTTTTCTTTTAATCATGCCTACTACTAGGTAGTAGATAGGTAGGTCAGATAAAAAAAGATTTGCTCAGGGTAAAAGAGTACATAGTGTAGAGATTGTCGCGTGGGTTGGGCGATTAAAGAGATCGGGGAGAGAGAAAGAGGATGATTGGTCTGAAGCGAGATCTCCGAAGGTTCTATTTCTGGACGGTGGGTGGATTGATTGGATGCGGGCAGCAAAGAAAGAATGGAAAATGGTTCGATTTTTGTTTTGTTTTAAAGTGTTGCTTTAACCGCCGCGTTTTGATTGCCGGCGGGCCGAAGGAAGAAAAAGGTGTGGGTGGTATTTTTGGTGGGGGAAATTGATGGGCTAGGATTCTTTTGCTTTTGGTGGTTGGTGGTGAAGAGAGGCGAGCTGAATGATGATGAAGGTGTAGATCAAGATCAAGATGACGATGGATGGCTTAGTTCTGTGTGAGATTGTGATGTAAAGATGAATCAAATGTGTGTTGAAGTAGATCAGATTGGTATGGACATGTCTGGAGTATCTTAGACTCTCTTGTGCGGTACTTTCACAAGCTCTGGATGATGACCATGATAGAGTACATTACTCTAAACGCTGCCTCCCAAGAAATTCCAAGAAATTACGCCAAGATGGCTTATTCATAATTCAATCTATATTATATTGCTTCTACAGTATCATTCACACATCTCCCGTGCAAAAATACCTCCAGCATCAACATCAACATCAATGCCTGCAATCTCTTACCAGCCCGGGCGCCTAAACCGCCGCCCTCGAGCCAATCGCATCCCTCCCCTCCCAGCATCCCTGTTCATCGCGCCTCATCCATCGACATGTCTCGTCCAATCAACCCCCTCGGCGGCAAACAGGAAAGCAGAAAATACAAACCCTGTTACCGTTACCTTTTCAATGCTCTCTTGTCGCCTTTCCTCATTCCCGGCACGTTTCTTCCCAATTTCCCGCTATTCTTTTCTTTGGCGCCGGATCGGAATGGCGGCAAACGACCCAAGCGAACCACCGCAAACCGTCCGGAAATGGCATCACCTGTAAATAAGTGTCCCGCGTTATGTAGATTTGCGTGAGACATGGGGTGGTGGGAGGGAGGAGGGGGAATGTGTGTTGGCTTATAAGAGAGGTTGGGTGGCCGCATTGTTTCGGGGATTTCTGGCACAAACCACCACAGCTTGAATATCTCTTGCATTATCACCGTTTCCTTTTTTGTCTTTTCTTTTTTTCCTTTTGTCAGGGTCTTTTCCTTATTTCTTAAGTGCGACTTTATTTTCCTTGCTCCGTTCGATTATTTCGGTATTGCAGTCATATTGTATTTCTTCGACATCCGAAAGCAACAGAATTACTACTCTTGTCGGCTGGTCCTTGTTACGATTGTCTGTCTCATCATCTTCTACCAATCTGGTTATTGGATTCGAATCTAGTCTGGATTAAAGAAACAAAAAGAAAAAAACCATCTCATCCTCCTCCTTCTACACACACACACACACATACACAATGCGTTCATCAACCTTCCTGGTATCATCGCTGGCCATCTTTGGAGCTCAAGCTGCTCCGGCCCTCCCCAAGCTTGATCTCGACAGCATAAAGAACCCGGCGGTTGCGTTGGACTCCATATCAAGCTACTTCAATCTCCTTGCATCAAAGGTTCAGCTTTCCAAGGTCCAATCGGTGGCACCGATATGCGACCTGTCCAAGGCCCAGATGCCCATGGGTAAGTCTCGATGTTTCTTACCCCATTCTCGTCCGTGTATGGCCAACATGATGGCTGACAAGCGACCACTCACTTAGTCGACGGACTGCTCCCTCCATCTGCTGGCTTGACCGTGCATCACGTCGCCGTCGGCCGTGGCACTCAGAACTACACTTGCGATGCCAGCAATCCCGACGCGGCTCCTGTTGCTGCCGGCGCCGTGGCCACTTTGTTCAACGTCAGCTGCATTGCGTCCATCAGCCAAGATCTGCTCCAAAAGGTGCCCAACATGGCCGTCAACTTCAACTATGACGCAGCTACTTCTGGTCCTCTCGGCCCAATGACGCTTCCCGTCTCTGGCCATCACTTCTTCGTCGACAGCACAACGCCCTTCTTCAACCTCGACACTACCACTCTGGACCTCGGTACGGTGCCTTGTGCAAAGAATGCCAGCGCCCCTGCGCCAGCCACCGCGGCCCCAGGGCCATCAGGCTCAACTGCGGTTCCGTGGCTGAAGCTTACAGCCAAGGATGGCGCCACGGGCAGCATCAAGGAGGTGTACAGGGTCAACACGGCCGGAGGCAACCCGCCGGCTACATGCCAGGGCCAGCCAGCCAACATTCAAGTGCAATACTCAGCAGTGTAAGTTGCCATATTGTCCCCTGATTGCTTATTGTGGTGCTAACATGGGTTGCCTTTAGATACTGGTTCTGGGGAAGCAACTGAGAGACGAGCAGTGAGACGGTCGAGAACGGACGTGACGAGTAGAGGGCGGTCATCTTTTGGGACGTTTGGGTTTCAATACACTTGTTATTATTGCCTAGGCATCATCTAAGCAGCCTAGTAGCATATTTCATTAATTATCTGGGGGTCGGTTAGCGTTTCATTCTTGGAAAAAAATTGATCAAGGACGGTGCTGGATGTATATACAAACGAATACATGTCAATACCTACCTGGCTTGCAGCACTGAACAAGTTGAGTATCAAAATCGATAGCCAACATGCGTCAAATTGGTGAAAATGGGTGTAGGATCAACGAGATACAATTGGCCGTGCTTTATGACTAAGGCCGTAGAGGGGTGAATAAGGCAGATAACAGGCCGCAGAGCCTCACCAGCTGTGCGAAATTGGCTTATGCCACCACGGTAATCTGTACCTAAACTAATAAAACAATTAAGTAGGAGAGTAATATACGGCCGAGGCTTGTATGTAATTGGTGGTTACCGCATCGGCTGGAGAAAAAGCCCCGAACTTACGCCGCTTGGAGCTGACGTTTGATGAGCTCAGGTGGTTTTGCTGCTATCGTGTTGGTTTTCTTGGTTTGCCTTGATCGAATCCTGCGAGAAGGATGAAAGAGAAAAGAAAAGAAAAGAAAAGAAAAGAAAAGGGCGCGAGAAGAGTCTAGACCAGCAGCAAACGAGGCTGCCAATCCACTAAAGAGGGACTTGAACGTGGGTAAAATCCCCGTATGGATGATCAATTCCGTGATGGTGTTGAAGCAAGCACCTCGCGACCTCATCGAGGCTAGCGCAAGCTCGGTTGGTCGAGATGTGCCTGTACCTTGGCCCGTCCACTCACCAACCAACGCCCACCGCAATTGCCGTCCAGACTGGAGTACCTGTACGAGCACGGCCGCGTCCAGCAATGCTTGGCATGCCAGAGGCCACCGGCCCTGGTCCGCGGCCCTTAGCGGAGCCACTAGGCGGTGCTCTAGCGGCAGTCGAGCCTCTATTTTCCAGGGCGAGGGCCCTCTGTACGTACAGTACGAGTACAGTAGAGGCTGCTAGCACAGGGGCTTTGCTAGCCTAGCACGGGCTCCGCCTCCGCGATGCGGTGAACCCGGATGATCACTAGTGCCGGGGCCCGCCGTGCAAATCTTAGTCGATGCACAGTATCTGTACATGTAGTAATATCGGGGCCATCACAGTAATCAGGCGATCCGATCTCGTCATATTGGAGCATCTCTAGATGGACTGATGCCTGGGGCAATCCGCGAACCAGATCGAAAGCGTCCTTGTGTTTGGCTGCGAGGCTCTGCCTGACGAGTGAATGACGGGCGATGCGCAGTTCTCCCCCTTGTTACAAAGTTTAATGTGATGTTGGTACTGATAACACGAAACTACTAAGATAACCTTGAAGGGATGGACGAGACGGAATAGAACCTTGTTCAAGAAATACAATAATTGGCTTGTGTTGATGGTGAATGCATCTATCCATTGGCTTCTCAGTAGGCAACCTTGGCGGCCTTGCAGAGTATTGATGTAATTGATCAAATCCTTTCCATGTTCTGCTCCCTGCCACGTCTCGTCAGGTTTCAATCTCGTCGCTCGTTTGCTCCGTGTCCAGCCGCAGCTCAAATCAACACCTGAGACTGTGGAGCTTCCCGACACCCATTCACTGAAGAGTACTGGCTGTTTGTCTCAGAGAACCAATGGGATGATACGCAACGAAGCCTGCCTGGCTGAGGCGAGTGTCTCACATCAAATATGATGAATATTACTACATGCACATGCTGCTCCGGACGGGTATTTTGGTGGCATTAGTCAAGGCCAAGGGAATTCGGTGGGCTCCCAGAAGAAAAGAAGGGAGGATCCAGGTCTAGGGACTAACTGGATTTCTCTTCCGTATCTTCAAACTCTCCCCGTTTACTCCTTCAACTCTGCCCCGATACAATATTGACACTCCTTGGGTCGATCGCGGGCAACTTAAAAGCGAAACGCTGCCACTCGCCGCCCAATGCCTTTGGTTGGCACGGCCCTGTCCATCGATAGGCTGCTGGGGCTGCACCTATTCGACAGCGCATTCAGCGTGGCTGGCCACAAGCTTCGGCCGCCGCTTAGCGCAAACAGGGCCGCCAGCACAGCTACAAATCGCCCCGCAACTCCATCTGCCTTATCCACCTCTTCTTCTTCTTCTTCCATATCGTCTTCCTACTCAGCGACAACAACAACGACAAGCCCATCGTCACACTCATTATCATCAGCTTTAGCGCTGCTCGGCTTCATCGCCCGCAACGCAGAACCATCTTCGGCAGTCTCTTCTCCGCCCTGTTTGACGGCCTCGCCGCTGTCGTCGCCCATTGCAACCTGGCCAATGGCGCAGCTACCGGTCGAGATTTTTGAAATCATCACCCGGCATCTGAGCCGGGCTGATATCCAGACCCTCCGCCTGGTGTGTCGAGAGTTTGAGGCCAAGGTCTCGGCCCAGTATTTTCGCAATGTCGTCGTGCCCTTCCGCTCGGAGCTCTACACCAACCTCGACCGTGATGAGAACAACGTCATCGCGTCTCGCCTCTTTTCCAGCGGCATGCGCATCTTTGAGTCGTTTGGCCCTCACATCCTTCGCTTTGCCCTGTCGCTCGAGCTAGACGAGTTCACGCTCGCCTATCCGCCCGTCAAGCCCGCCCAAGAGGCTGTACCCGCCTTCTGGGGCGTCTATCGATGGCCTCATGAGACCTATCATCGCTACACGGATCTCGAGGGCCTCGAGCAGACCGCCGATGAGACTGACAGCATGAAAAAGGCCCTCCGCTGCCTGACCAAGGTAACTAACCTTGGCCTCTGCTGTGATGCCGGTCTAGGCTTCCTTGTCGGCCCTGACCAAGCTGTACGAAAGATCAGCAACCCTGACCCCGTCTTTGGTACCCGAGACTGGCGTCCGGATGGTCGCTCCAGGATTAGTGAGGCACAGGTTGCCGTATCTGACTTTAACGGCGTGCCTCGGGATCTCACTAATGCCACTACTCAGCATGACAACTTCAAGCGTCGAGTTCTGGAAAAGATGATCTCCGATGCTGGCTTCGCTGGCTTCTATGTCCATGAAGCCATTGACCTGTTGCTCGAAACAGAAGGCGTCACAATCTCCAACATCGACTTTGATGAGCGTGAGGCTATCGTCGTCGAGGAGCCTCCTCCTCAGCCCCAGCAGGCAGCAGCAGATCGAGATCGACGTCACACCCGTCGGGGCCAGCATCGCTTCTTTAACCCGCAGCTTGCCGCACAGCAACAGATACCCCCAGTGCACCATATTCCACCGATTGTGCAAGCGATCCCTCACCCACAGCCGCCTAATAACCATCAGTTCCAACATCCGGGACATCTCCATTTCCATGCGCCCAACGCCATACCCTTCCCGCCTGGGGTTCTACCTCCACATCAGCAAGTGCTTCACCGCCCGCGCCGGACTGCTGAAAACTTGTCTGAGCGGGAGCCGACGTCGGATCCCAACAACCGCCAGCCTCTTATCCCGACTAACCTCACGCGGGCCCAGAAAGAGCTGCTTCTTGAGTTGGAGTGGGCGCACCGCGCCATGATCCAGTCCTATGTCATCAGCATCATCGATAATGCTAGAGATGGCTGCTTCAGCAATCTGACCAACGTGACCATTGCCAAGATTCCCAGCGCTCACGTCCATATTCTCTGCCGCAAGGAGCTCTGGGAGAGTCTGCCCTGCGTTAAGAACGTCTCCATTGCCGTCATTGCTGACTGGAGAAAGATTTCAAAGCCTTCTCCGGGTGTTGTCGCCGATACCCATGTGTCCCCCGTCGAGGCTGTTCCTAAGGTCTACAAGCTTCTCAATGACTACATCGGACGGCGACACACCATTGAAAACGTTCATTTTGAATGGATATGTGGCGGCGAGTTTGCCCGGGGCCCGTACCAGCGCGGCCAGTATATCCTGCCGGCCCCCTTTGTTGAGTCTGCAGAATTGATGAGTGCCCCCGATGGCGCCAAAGACGTGGATAAGCTTCTGGATATGCCCTATGTCAAGCACTTCTCCTTGAAAAACTGCTGGGTCTCGCCCCATGTTCTTATGCAAACCATCCGTTCCATGGCGTTGCACTCCCTTGACAAGCTGGAGCTTGAGTCTGTCTCTCTTTCCGGACCGCCCGTTTACTCTGTTCAGCCAGCCAACGTCCCTCAACCTGTCGACGACGTCGGTATGCCGGTTCCCGCATTGTTCCAGGGCCTTGTTGGCCCCATGGCTGCCGGCCCCGTTGCACCGGCCCCCATGTTCCCCCCAGTTGCAATGCCAATGCAGATGCTTTTGCCCGAGGAACAGCTACCTGAGAGGCTTGCGATGCCAGACCTCTTTACATGGTCTGGTTTCTGCGAGCACTTCAGCCCCAGCATCAAAATGCGCTACCTTCCCCGTTTTCGCGAGTCGGCCGGTGTGGACGGTGATGCAGCCGTCAGGCCAGAGGAGCTTTCCCTGCCGCACGCCAACAAGGACTCTTTCCTGCCACATGCCGACCAGCTCAATGTCGATGAAGCTCAGTACAACCTGAGTTCGATATCTTTCAAGTCTTGCGGCTATGTGTTTGTAGATATGCGCAGTCTCGACATTCGGGCTCTCCTGCCGCCGGAAGGCCAGGCTGCTCATGCCTTTGCGAGCAGCCTTCGCCATGATATGTTTCACTCAATGCAATACTGCAAGGATAAGCTCCTCGGCCGTATTATGCCATATATGCTCTCGTCTGAAGCGAAGACGCTTGAGCAAATTTTCCTCATGGATCATGGCTGGAGCAAAGTCTATGCCAGTCACATTTCCGATGATGCTATTGCTGATGGTTTCGAAATGCCTGGCTTGGGGCGCTTCTCCGGCACCCTTGCCAGAATCGATGACAACGAGGTTGAGATGATTGGATGATTCTCCAATTCAACATTCTCTTCTTCTTTTTTCTTCTTGTTTGTTTAAACAGATGGCTTGCTTATTACCCTATGTCTTTTTAATCGGCTATTATCTATTGAAACGAATTCATGATGGATACAAATTCTCAGAAAGAGGAGAGAGAAAAAGAGTCTAGGCGTCTCCTTCCTTTCAATATTCGACAAAGTTCCCCTTCTTTCTCTCCCCTCGATGGATTTCTCCTTTTCTTTTCCGTGCGGCAGCGTCTTGGTGGTATGCCTCTGATTTCTTTAGCATATGCGAACACACGCTTGAGAGGACCACCTGACTGGTCTGAGGTTGGATTGCCGTTGCTTAACATTATTCCACGAACAAACAAACATACAAAAAAAGATACCCTTGGAACTGGAACTGTGATTCATTCATATGGGACCACCATTTTCTTCTTCGTTGTGCACTGCCTTTGCGTTGTTGGGCATTACACATTTCGATCAAACGTGAGACGAACATTTGGCCCGAAATTTTCGCTTCTTCATCTTCCGTTTTTCTTTTCTTTTTTTCAACGAGATAAGACGGTGGACTGTCAATGTTTTAACATTGACATACCACTGCCCTCCTTTCTTTTCTTTTTTTCACTTTCACCATGGAGTGTTTGTTGCGTATTCAGGATTTTACTCTTGATACGAGGGTGGATATGCTCCTTTTTTGTTGGAATGCAGGATCATTACCGGTAGGATTATGAATGAATCGGCTAGACGGATCAGCCTTATAGACAAAAGATTGCTTATTGGAAGGGGAAAAAAAAAGGTACAAGTTTGTGTTGGATGCATGGTTTCACTTGATGAGAATTTACGACTCGGGGACAAGGCTGTAAAGCGCGCTGTGACGCTTGGAAAGGACATGTGATGAGACGCAGGAACTAGCTGTCTATGTATGCAGGGAGGCTGCTTGTTGTATGTGTGTTGGTTAGGTTGATATGGATCTAGCTTGACGGCAGTGGTGCTGCAATATAGATGGACTCCTTCGTTTATGAGTACGAGATGCTTTGTGAGCTGGGGCAATAAATTACATGTCGTGGATGTAAACTGTAGCCGTATGATATTTTAGTTCTGAGCAACGAATCATACACATTCTCGTATAACATGACGTCAGGCACAGAGGGTGAAATTTTGTGAGTTTTTTTGTTTTTTTCATTTCATTTCATTGATTCTCGTCAGGGATTAATAGGGCCCTTGCGAGAAAAATAAAAGAGGATTGCTTGCATTGCAAATTTTTTATATTCCCTTAAAAAGATGCCATGCAACGACACACTCCCTTCCCCCGTAGCCTGCCATACACCAGGAGATGAATAAAGCCACGAAAAATATTTCCTTTTTTTGCCCCTCGCAAAAAATACCAAAAGACACTTTCTTTTGCCCGGTCGTGTTTTTTGTCAGACGCTTCTTCATCTCGTTTAAAAAAAAACAAAGCCTATTTGGTTGAAGAAAACACCCCCCCTTTTCCATTCGCCACCGCTCTATGCGGCGGTGATGGCCTTGCGGGTGCGGGCGGCGCGCTGGCGGGCGTTGAGGCGGAGAGACTCGCGGCCGGCAACCTCCTCGGACTTGGCGACAACCTCGTCACCCTCGGTCAGGATGAGCTCGATGTGGCAGGGGTTGGACATGTAGGGGTTGATCTGTATATAACCGTGTTAGGTGTCTTTCGAATTCACGTTTATGTCGTCGTTGGGGGGATACGTACACGACCGTGAGCACGGTATGTCCGTCTTCGCTGCTTGGGGGCCTGGTTGACCTGGATGTGCTTGACAACGAGGGCACCGGTGTCGAGGCCCTTGGCGTCGGCGTTGGCCTCAGCGTTCTTCAGGAGACCGAGCAGGAACTCGGCGGACTTGATGGGCCATCGAGCCCTGGTGACACCGAACTGCTTGCCTGTTGAACAAGATCCATCAGCATGACTGTCCTATGAGAGAGAAAGAAATCCCCAAGCAAAACTTCTCATTTCGAGATGTTATGTCTGCCGTCCCATCTCCCCCTCGAATGTCGTACCTTGGGCGGTGCGGCCAGTGCCACCGGCATATCGTCGCATGGGGACGGCCTCCTTGTGCTCCTTGACGTTCTCGAGGAACTGGACAGCTCGCTGCAGCTTCCAGCCGTTGATGGCCTGGGCGGTCTCGCGGGTGTTCTTGAAAGAAACTCGGAGGTAGGCACCGCGGGCGCGGGCCGACTTCGCGGGCTGAATCTCGTGGGCGGCGTATCGAACCTGTAAATTCCGAACAAAAGGGCGAGAAAAAGTCAGTCACGTCCGTTCTCTCATCCCCGATTTTCACACGTTCTCCTTCGTTCCATGATGCTCTCTCTCTCTCTTCTCCCAAACAAAAACAAGGAAGCGCAATTTGCTTTCCAGCAGCAATCCAATCCAAGAGTCCCTCCTCTTTCCGACAAGCCTTCGAAAGCATCAATCTGGGGGGGTAGGCACTCACCATCTCGACGGCTTATGTGGTGGTGACTGATTCGACGACGTGGGTTCGCGGGCTGAAGTTGAGAAATTCTGAACTTTTGCCCTAAAGCGCTGGCCGGACCACAAGCAAATGTTCGCTTACCTCTTCGGGAAGTGTTAGGGTTTCTCTGCCCTGGTCCAATCAAGTGGCGCGCTTCAACTTGGCAGCAAACGGCGCAGGGGGGAATGGCAGAAACAAGGGATCAATGATATGAAAGTGATGAGAAAAAATTGAAGATTAATTTATTTATTCGCCTCGCATATCTCCGAGTAGATTGATTGATTGAATATCTGTGAATTGGTAATTTTTGCCATGATTTCGAGCTTCTCCTCACACATTCAGCTTTCAAGTCACATGACCTTCAATGATGATTCAGCGACTCTTTCCACCACGTGATCGTTGGCGAACTTTTTTTTTTTTTTTTTTCAAAAAAAAAAACCATCCGGAACAATGTCGGTGCGTCAGACTCCACAATCAGAGCGCTCTAAGCCAATAATGGCCAAAAGTGGACCCTGCGACTAAAGCTTCTTGCGAAAAGCTTCAAAAATTTCTTTCTCGCCAGTCTCTCAGAAACAACCGTGTTTGGCAGACCCGATACAAAGGCAACTTGGGCGTGTTGAGTTCAACCCAGCCACCTGCATTCCCATAATCTCGCGCGCTTCTCGGTTCAGTCTTTTGGACTCGCAGATCTTCAGCTCGCGCATTTGTTGCTCAATTCCCCTCCGAAAGTCGATCCAAAAACTTTTCTTCTTCTTCTTCAAATCTTATCCCACTATCACACACATGGCGCCTTTCACTGCTCGAGGTGGACGTGGCGGCGGTGGTCGCGGAGGAGGTGCTCCTCGCGGCGGTCGTGGAGGCTTCGGCGGTGGCCGTGGCTCTGCTAACGGTGTTCGAGGACGAGGTATGCTCGTCGTCTGAGAGAGTCTTGCGATTTGAGGCTAACAGGCGACATCACAGGTGGTGCTCGAGGTGGCCCTGGCGGTCGCGGCGGCCGAGGAGGCCCTCCCCGTGGAGGACGAGGTGGCCGCGGTGGTGCTCGCGGCGGTCCCGGTGGCATGGGGGGCGGTGCCAAGGTTGTCGTTGTATGTTGAAATCCTAACCCCTCCAGACTTCTGACCTTGGAACATTTTTGACTGACCTTGGCTTGTTTTGCTCGAACTAGGAGCCTCACCGTCACCCCGGTGTCTTCGTCGTCCGTGGCGGCAAGGAGGACGGCATTGCCACCCGCAACCTGACCCCTGGCGAGTCCGTCTACGGCGAGAAGCGCATCAGCGTTGACGAGACCGTCGACAACGGCGACGGCACAACCACCACCACCAAGGTCGAGTACCGACTTTGGAACCCCTTCCGAAGCAAGCTTTGCGCTGCCATTGCCGGTGGTGCGGACGACATCTACGTTCGCCCTGGCTCTCGTGTTCTGTACCTTGGTGCCGCCTCTGGTACCTCCGTCTCTCACGTCGCCGACCTGGTTGGCCCTACCGGCTTCGTCTACGCCGTTGAGTTCTCCAACCGCTCTGGCCGTGATCTCATTGCCATGGCTGCCAAGCGCCCCAACGTCGTCCCCATTGTCGAGGATGCCCGTCAGCCCGTCCGCTACCGCATGGTCGTCCCCATGGTCGACGTCATCTTCGCCGACGTTGCCCAGCCTGATCAAGCCCGTATCGTCGCTATGAACGCCAACTGGTTCCTCAAGCAGGGCGGTGGTGTCTTGATCTCCATCAAGGCCAACTGTATCGACAGTACAGCCCCCGCTGCCGAGGTCTTTGCCAGTGAAGTCCAGAAGATGCGTGCCGAGTCTATCAAGCCTAAATTCCAGCTCACCCTAGGTAAGAACAAACTTAACTTTCATATACAGCCCTCTTTATTGAAAAAAGAACGCAAAAAACTAACGAATTCGCCACTTAGAACCCTTCGAGCGTGACCACTGCCTCGTCGCTGGTCTGTACATGCGCAATGAGTAAAAGCACCAGATCTTTTTTTCGATAAAAAAAAGGCCATGGAACGATTATTATATCGTCTTGTATAAAGTCCTGGTTGCCAAAATCTTGTTTACTCGGCGTTCACGAATGATTACCCAATCAGGCTGCTGCTGCATCTAACTCTTCGTGCGCCAAACGGTTTCGGTTTTAAAGGGATGATTCACTAATGGCATGGGGCGTTCCGGATAAGGGGAATTCTGCTTTAGCTTTGAGCTTTTGTTCTGTTATATAGGGTCTTTTATCCCAATGCAAAAGAAATGCTGCCACTTTTACAAAGCTCTCTCCATGAATGAAGTAATTATAAACGTATGCATGCGTATGTGTTAATTACGAGGGGTCTCTTTTGGTTCCTGAGAATCTTGTAGAGTTGAGGAAGCCCCGCCATCCTAAAGGGCTATTTTGCCTCTATTCATCATCAACAACAACTCCAATAACTTTGTTTCTTATATCATAAGACGTATAATTCAGTCGTTAATTTCAAATCTGACATGGTATAAAAATTTCCCTATACATATACAGCGCTTATTCTATCTGTATCCCAACGCCATGCCATTAACGCCCGGCATTCCAGTATTATATACATACATACCCTCAGCCTTGTGTGCTTTTGCCCTTTTTATTACATATTAATTGGCCAACTGTCGCCGTCTAAATTCAAACTCAGCCTTGGCATCCGGTCCCTTGGTCATGACCATCGTCATAGGCTTCGGTCGCTCATCGCCCTTCTTCAGCCTTACGTCATAGTTGATGAGGAAGAATGCCAGAATCAGCTTAATCTCATTGCCAGCGAAAAATCGACCGGGACAGGCGTGTTTTCCTGCACCGAAATTAAGGTTCGTATCGTTGAGGGAGGTAAACTGCCAGCGGTTACTCGCTTCGGCCGATTCTTGTCGCATGTGGTAAAAACGTAGCGCATCGAACTCTTCGGGGTTGTGGAAAAACTGGTCGTCGACGGAAATGCCAGCCTGAGGGGCCAGCACTCTCGTTCCTGCGGGCAAATGCGTGCCATCAGAAAGTTCGATCGGCTTCAAGACTTTGCGAATAAAGGATGCTGTTGAAGGTGTTAGTAACGAGACAAAGAATCATCTTGATGAATAAACGTACTGATATTGCCACGGAGCCGTTGAACCTCACGCATGAAGCTGTCAAGCTTCTTGAGCTTGGCCATGCTCTCCTTACGAACCCAGCCATTTTCCACCTCCAATATCTGGTAGGCTTCTTCGCGTAGTTCTGCCTGAACCTCAGGGTGTGAAGCAAGATCGGCCATGCATTCAAACAACAGGTTGTTAGTGGTGTGAATCGAAGCGGCTGCCAAGATGAGCTGCAGCTCGGCGTGTGTCTGGACGTCTGCCTTTTCTTCCTCGGGTAGAGCCTCAATAAGCCATTGCATAAGGTCATTTGGCGGATCATGAAAGGTCGAAATCTCCATATCGCGTATTCTTTCTTCAAGCAGTGGCTTCAACATTGACTTTGCGGCATCTATATCTCGTCGAATCTTGCGCAAGTCCGATACGGCATACTGGGCGACGGGTCGAGCCCACTCCGGGAAAAGTTGCAGTTTGATTACAGACATGAAAACGTTGATGGCGAAGTTGATCGACACCTCCATCCACTGCTCGTCTCGGTTTAGAAAGGGTCCAACGAAGGCTCGGCCACTCAGTCGGGCGATTCCACGCAAAGCGAATGGCTGCCATTTTACAGGCGTCCAGTCCTCGCAAGAAGGGAATTCGGTACCAATGTAATGCTCCAGTTCGACCTTGAGCTGAGGGATCAACTCGACAAGATTCTGAGTTAATCTGGTTCTGACGAGAAGTGAGAGCATATCGCCGTTGTGGCCCGGCGAGAATTTGGTGTATTTCGTCTGAAGAGCCTGTACACCAGTCAGAATTTAATGGGACGTATGGATTGTAGCAGGGGATCCTACGTCAGCTACGGCCTCCGTAGCACTAAGGATATCCTCGGGCAACCCCTTGAGCTCGGCGATAAACCTTGGGGGGATCATGGCTTGAATTCCCTCTGTCGCCTTGATTTGATAAACTTGGTCTCGAAACTGGATGGGCAAGTAAGTCATCAAGCCCACGAGTGTTGGGAAGTGTACGTAATCTGACCTTGCTGTAGCTGGCAACAATTTGTGACTCGGCATCGAAAATCCACTTCAATTTCGAAGCTCCGTAGAAGGGTACACTAAGCTTGCTGCACTGAGACTTTGGCCTCAAAAGCCACGCAACCAGTAGCATAACGAGAACGGCCACATAATAGCTGGCCCGGGGTGTCCAGGAAGCAAAGAGTGCGGGTGCCTCAACCGCCGACGGAAACGGCGTCGAGTTGGATTGACGGTACATGGCGATTGTGTGCTATAGTATAGAAATTCCGTTGAGCTGGGATGGTAGTAGTAAGGACAAAAAAATAGCTGCCAGCCGGCAGAGTATTTGAAGGCCAGCGAGGCTTCGTCATGCGCCGCAGTAAGAAAGGACTCTCCTCAGCTTCGGATGATAAGAGTTGTTTGCTAAGAAGGGCATGCAAGGGAGGGAGATTTCTCTCCTGCAGGGAGATGCAAGGGATGGTGTCTAGAGTAACGATGCTCGCATCTCTGTCTTGTCTAAAGCGTGTAGACTGCAGACAGTAGGTGGCAATGAGTAGGAGGCACCAGCAGTCCAGTATTGCGCTGGAGCATTCGTCGAAAGCCCTAGGAGTGAACTACACCAAAGCAATGGGCTTTTTTTGACTGAGAACAGAGGATTAGTCGAGTCAGCGAGTTGCAAACGAATATATCAAAAAGACAGACGCAGGTATTGAAAGCGCGATAATGGAGAGGGCGAGATGCGCGAACAACAACCCAAATCAACGTTTCATTCAACCCCGTCCTACAGAGTACGAGCACTCACCGCATCCTGTCCTCTGTCCTCTATTCTCAGCCCCCCCGCAAGCAAACGAAAAGGCAGATCCGGGCGTGTAGCACAGACGGGCGCGTGGTCGTGCAAGCCCATCATCATCATCAGCTTGTCTGAAACAGGGCAAGGCATGTCGCAGAAGTGTTCGGGAAGAGCTGTTCCCGACACTAGCGGCTGCCCCAAAGGGCGATTCTTGGTGGCCCCCGGGATTGATTTCGGCCGCTCTGGCTGCGGGGATCATCGCGAAGATCGGACATGCTGGTCAGACCTAAGAGATTGGTTGATTGGGCACGTTGATTAAGCGCGGCTTTGCCTTAAAATAGGTGAAGCTGGGATGCGGCGTGGCGATTCGTTTTTTAGGCGAGTTGATCTGTCCAGCCCCTTGTTACAGGTCTGGTTCGGGTGCAACAGATTTGCTCCTGAAGCCTCCAGACTAGTGCAGGGGACTACAGTAGATGGGATGAAAAGAAGATGCTTCTTTTTCTCGTCTCTGTTTTCGATGTTGTTGATGTTGAAGGGAGAATAAACTTCTTGGCTCGAAACACCATTATGCCTCTTTCCTTGGTACCATCGATTAATCAACGGCTTGCAACTGCCGTCTGTCTTGTTTTGGTGGTTTCTGCTGACATCATCCGCGGTACAAGTATACCAGCAATTTCTTCAACCTTCCAGCATGCAATACAACCTGGGGTAAGACTAATGAATTTTTATTGAGCTCAGTGGTCTTCGCCGGGATACCACATGTTCAAAGAGCCTGCATCTATTCATCAAGAGTTGCTCTCTGAGAACACGTTGACAGGATTGGTTCTCAGGACTGATTCATCAGGAGTAAGAGTCCCACTGAGAACTACCCTACAATATAGCATCGTATATAAGTTCTAGTTGCCCTTGAAGACGGAAAATGAAACGGCAAATGAAACACAGTCCGGCTGCAATCGTGTCAATTCGGCTCTATAGTAAGCTTATCTATAAAAAGAATCGAGACTGTTACTCCCGCTCTTCAATGCGCGTATCGTGTTCCCATCGCTAGTGCATCGGTAATCGGAGCCAGATTCACGCAGCCTCTTTCAATAATGGAAAGCCTCAACAGTATTTCCTTTTACTATGAGTATATACCTTGTGTATTCTAAAACCACCGAGTTCTGTAGTTATCTTTCATGCTGCTAGAATTCCCATCACTCGTCTACGGCGACCTGGCATCGAGATGCCTTCACTGCCTCCTTGTCTAATATCTGCCTACTAGATCAACAGTATAACTTCACCTATATGAGCTCCCACATTATAAAAAAAAACTACCCAGCCTTAAGACAAATCGTCCAAATAGCGCTCTTGTATTAATTTACACATCCAAAACTGGGGAGCATCAGCCTGGGGCCAAGATCTGCCCGCCGCATTCACCCAACTTTTTCATCCCATCTCTGCCTCTTGGCAAACGCACACCCCAACACCCAACCCTGATAACCCAATGATAACCCTAAACCTATTTTCCCATATACTCCGTGAACGCGATATTATGCATCTGCTCAACAAGAGCTCCCAAAAGGGCATGTTCAATTCCGCCATCTCACCCACGAACGCCTCTCCACTTTCACACGAGCTATTCCCAGAACAACAATAAGCCACCATTACTACTTAAAATAACACGACAAGCGGCAATAAGCCAACACCTATGCAATCAACATATATACCCTGGATTCGACTGCTTGGTTGTTTGTCTTTTGCCATGTGCAGTTGGAGATTAACTAGCATCGGGCCGCATTCTGTGAAGCGATTGCCGTTCATCCAGATGCCGGGTTCATCAAGTGTGGATCGCTGCGGACTACTCAGCTGCAGATATACGTACGCATCCATGTAGCATGAGGCTGATAATGTGATATCCCAGCAAGAGTTTGAACTTTTCACCACGGTACTCCGTACAAACATTCAAATCGTTGGCTGTCGGGGCAATATCTAGTATAACAATTTACTTGGTCCCTTGTCTATTGATTGAAGCCATCTCCAACATGCATTCATTCTAACGCCATACAATGTGAATGAGATCCTTTGTTAATGGTTAGTCATGCCACAAGGATCCTACCCTCGCAGTCGTTACTAATTCAAAAAGATCGACAGGGTCACTCAAAGAAGAAGCATCAACTCTTAAACAAAATCGAACAAGTGTATATCTCTATCTATGACTGCAAGTCTAAAGATAAGCTTCAAAACAAAACTCCGGCCGATGCATTCCCATTCAATCCAACTGACGCAATTTTAAATCAAAATAAGCTGGTGTTGCCTAAGCACCGTAGACCTTGACACGCTCGTCAATGTCCTGGAACTCCTTGGGACCAGCCTCGCCGGCCTTGCCACCAAAGACGAGCTGGGCGTCGAGCCTCCAGTGAGCGGGAACGCCCCAGGTCTCGGCAACCTTGAGGTCGATCAGCGGGTTGTAGTGCTGGAGGTTGGCGCCCAGGCCCTCGACCTCGAGGGCAGTCCAGATGAGCAGCTGCTCCATGCCCAGGGACTGAACAGCCCAGGGAGGGAAGCGGTCGGAGTAGATGGGGAACTTGGCCTGGAGGGCCTTTGTGGCGTCGGTGTCCTCGTAGAAGAGGACGGTTCCAGCGCCGCCCTTGAAGAGGGCGAGCTTGTCGGCGGTGGACTTGAACTGGTCCTCGGGGACAATGGCCTTGAGGGTCTCGGTGGTGATGTCCCAGAGCTTCTCGTGCTCGGCGCCAAAGAGGACGACGGCGCGGTTGGTCTGGACGTTGAAGGAGGAGGGAGTGTGGAGAGTGGCCTCCTTGACGATCTCATGGATGCGAGTGGTTGAGATGGGGAGAGTCTTGTTGAGGGGGTAGATGGAGCGGCGGACCTTGGCCATCTGGAAGAGGAGATCGGCGGAGAGCTTGGCGGCCATTGTGACGTTGTTTGAGGGTTGAGTGGTTATTGTTGTGTTTGAGTTTGTGATGTTGGAAGAGAAGAGGAGGAACGATCCCAAGAGCTGAGAAAACTGAATGGTTGCGGTGTTGTTGTTGCTGTTGTTGCCTGGAGTAGAGAAGGGGGGACAAGCAGCCGGTGGATGCGAAGGAGGGATTGCTTTATAGTTGTTTACCTCGGGCCAAAAGACACCACATACAGCAACGACACACAAACACACGAGACACACAACGTCTACCGGATCAGCAACTTTGCGCCCCATCCCCCTGGCTCGCCGCCCCTCCCCACGCCATCGGAGCCCGCCATACTCACGATACGACACAACCGCAGAACCGAAACGAATGGAACCACCAAACGATATTAGGCATCATGAGCAAAGCAACACCGATCCACCCCGACCTACCTTGGCGAGCAATCAGGGCACCATTATGCCATCGCACATGATGAACGAGTGGATATCCCCGAAGATCAGTCGCGCAATAGTGGCATTTTCGCTTTGAAACTTCATACGGATATTCCAGGAGGACCCTCCGGCGGTGGAGTCCGCTTTGGCATCCGTTATCCGGAATCGAAAAGCTTCCCTATCTTTCCCTTTCCTTGCCGTTTCTTGCCTTGCTGCGGACCTTTTTGGCTGCCGACAACACCGGCTTAGACATGGCTGACGAAGGGATGAACAATGGGCCAATTCCACCATGCTCGCGGCTATTGCGGAATGGGGGAAGCCAGACGTCAAAAACTCGGGTTTACAACTGAACGGCTATACTAGGTACTACTACTAGGTAGTATCCTGCGACCGGGGGGGTTCAACGCCAAATGGATAGCCGGCTGAGGTACGTACAGATAGGTACGGAAAGAAGAAGAAGAAAAACTGAGCAAAGGGTCCAATCCTGGTAAAATCCCCCACTAAGACAAACAGAGCCGCGCGCTACCGCTAGGACAAATTGGAAAAAGAAAAGTGTGGGAATAAAACAGAGAGCAAAAGTTGATTTCGCACGCTTTGAAACTCGATAAGTCAGCATTTATAATCGCCTTTGTCGGCCCGTGGTGGGTGGACAGTGAGCGGACAGTCCGCTCATGCGAGGTGGGATGGGAAAAGAACAACTACTACTGCATAGGTAGGTACGGTGAAATGCACCAAGGGTCCTGAAAAGACAGATTTGCGAGATGAGATGATCTGCAGCATGGCAAAAGACACACTCTCGTATCTCGTATTGCTTTTTTCATGTGTAACTACGGATGTAGTCCGCTGACTACGCCTACTAACTGCCTACCTGTACTAAGGCGATATCTTGTATAAGGTAATCGGAACATCTTCCGAACTGCGTCTCTCTCTCTGAGGTACCTACACTTACACGTATTAATGCAGTCAGCATTGTTCCCTTGAATCGATTCACACCTTACGATGCTATCCAGCCATCACTCTATCTGGTAATCACAAATTACCTCGAGAGGGAAAAAAAATAGTTCCACCACTTGCCCATCGCGGAATCATCAGCAAAGTACTCCCCAGACACAACCCTCCCTTCACCAAAACCACC